TGTAGAGGAGTCCAGGGCATGTAAGCACAAAGCATCTTAGAGTGATCTAGGATCAATTTAGCTTTTTAAATCATAATGAATAAGAGAGGGGACCTGTACCTAGATCAGCACTCCCACTTGGAGATGCTTTGTGAATATGGGTCCAGACAACTCACAGCAGGATAGACAGAGGCCTAATGAGACAGACAGGTACAGTTGCAGCCAAATATATTGGTCGTTGGTAAACACAGCACTGATCTGTATTGCCAAAGACCTTTTGTTTCATTGGTCCACATAACATTCTCCCAAGATTTAGGCTTGTTTAAGTCGGTTTTTGAGAAGTTCAATCAGGCTTTCTTGAGTCTCCTTCAACATTGGGGTCTTCCTATGTTTACCAACAACCAAATTAAGCATTCAAAGAAAATAACACCCTCCCTATAATCAAACATGGGGAGGTTCGATAATGCTGTGGGGTTGCTTTGCTGCCTCTGGTACTGGGGGCCTTGGAGTGCAAGGTGTTTTGGAGTGCAATGTTCAACCCAGTGTCCAAAAACTGTCTCTCAGTTGAAGGTTGTGTGTCTTCCAGCAGGACAACAACCCCAAACACACATCAAAAGCACCCTGGAATGGTTCAAGAAGAAACACTGGACTGTACTGTACTGGCCAGGAAAGAGTCCAGATGTGAATCACATCCAAAATCTATGGCGAGATCTGAAAACAGCAGTTGGTGGAGGGCACTCCTCAAACACTGAAGAATTAGAGCCGTTTGCTGCTGAGAAGTGTATAAAGGTGCAGCAAGCTCATTGATTGCATATTGTCAGCAGTTATCTTGGCTAAAGGATGTGCAACCAAGCACTAGCTCTGGGGTGCCAATCGTTTTGTCCTTGCCATTTATCTTTTATTTTTATTTTTATAAAATGTATTCTGCAATGTTGAAAATCCAATAACAACTTATTTGAGAAGAAATAGGAGATTATTTAAGAAAAGTGCAAGGGTGTCAATGTATTTGGCCAGAAGAACTGTACATGTAGATGCATTTTGAATTTACCACCATACACGGCGTGTACAATTGAGACATGGATTGTGTATGTGTGCCATTCAGAAGGTGGGTGAATGTGTAAGACAAAAGATTTAAGTGCCTTTGAACGGGGTATGGTAGTAGGTTCCAGGCGCACCGATTTGAGTGTGTCAAGAACTGCAACGCTGCTGGGTTTTTCATGCTCAACAGTTTCCGGCGTGTATCAAGAATGGTCGACCACCCAAAGGACATCCAGCCAACTAGACACAACTGTGAGAAGCATTGGAGTCATGATGGGCCAGCATGCCTGTGGAACGCTTTTGAAATCTTGTAGAGTCCATGCCCCAACGAATTGAGGGTGTTCTGAGGACAAAAGGGGGTGCAACTCAATATGTTTTGTACACTCAGTGTATATTTTAATATATCATTTTTCCAACCCTATACGCAGTGGTGTAAAGTACTTAAGTAAAAATACTTTAAAGTACTACTTAAGTAGTTTTGGGGGGTCTGTACTTTACTTTACTATTTATATTTTTGACAACTTTTACTTCACTACATTCCTAAAGAAAATAATGTTATTTTTACTCCATACATTTTCCCTGACACCCAAAAGTACTCCTTACATTATGAATGCTTAGCAAAACAGCAACATGGTCCAATTCACGCACTTATCAAAAGAACATCCCTGGTCATCCTTACTGCCTCTGAACTGGCGGACTCACTAAACACACATTCTTCATTTGTAAATTATGTCTGAGTTTTGGAGTGTACCCCAGGCTATCCGTAAATAAATAAAAACAAGAAACTGGTGCCGTCTGGTTTGCTTAATATAAGGAATTTGAAATGATTTATACTTTTACTTTTGATACTTATGTATATTTGAGCAATTACATTTACTTTTGATATTTAAAACCAAATACTTTTAGAATTTTACTCAAGTAGTATTCAGTGGTGGAAAAAGTACCCAATTGTGGAAAAGTAATGATACCTTAATAAAAAATTACTCAAGTAAAAGTGAAAGTCACCCAGTAAAATACTACTTGAGTAAAAGTCTAAAAGTGTTTGGTTTTAAATATACTTAAGTATCAAAAGTAAATGTAATTGCTAAAATATACTTAAGTATCAAAAGTAAAAGTATAAATAATTTCAAATTCCTTATATTAAGCAAAGCATACTGACATATTTTCCAGTTTTTTATTTTATTTACAGATAGCCAGGGGCTCAATCCAACACTCAGACATAATTTCCAAACGAAGCATGTGTTTAGTGAGTCTGCCAGATCAGAGGCAGTAGGGAAGACCAGGGATGTTCTCTTGATAAGTTTGTGAAATAGACCATTTTCCTGTCCTGCTAAGCATTCAAAATGTAACGAGTACTTTTGGGTGTCAGGGAAAATGTATGGAGTAAAAAGTACATCATTTTCTTTAGGAATGTAGTGAAGTAAAAGTAAAAGTAGTCAAAAATATAAATAGTAAAAGTAAAGTACAGATACCACAAAAAACTACTTAAGTAGTACTTGAAAGTATTTTTACTTAAGTACTTTACACCACTGGTAGTATTTTACTGGGTGCCTTTCACTTTTACTTGAGTCATTTTCTATTAAGGTATCTTTACTTTTGGGTACTTTTTCCACCACTGCCTATACGGTGCTACTGAAGTAGACTGGGAGAATGATCAATACGTTGTCAATTGGCCATCTCTCCTCTCAGATCATTCTGTTCTTGGAGAGTATTGGCACCCATCTCATGTGTGTGTGTGTGTGTGTGTGTGTGTGTGTGTGTGTGAGTGAAAGGGTAGCCCAATCAGAGATTGTCTTCACCTTAGGGCCAATGATACCATGATGTCACTGACCTCTTGTCCATTTATAAATACAGAGCTCAACAGCACAACAACAGTCTGAGGCAGGCTCCCTCAGTCCTACCAATCACAAAGGTTTGTATTTCAGATTTCGGTGTACAGATCTATGAATGACTTGTTAGAACTCAAATGCCACCTCTGATTTCTTTTTTTTACAGAAAGCCAAGTGTTAACATTTTGAATAATGTTAATCAGATAAACATTCATGTTTCAGTTGCTTGTAAGAATGATGTTCTAATAGGTTCTCCTCTCAATCTCTTATTTCTTTTCAAAGGCACTCAAGAGTATGGCAGTAACCAATGAAACCTTTCAGGAGACTTCTTTTATATATGAACAGATGATCATATTTGAGATGAATGAGAAGACTATGGTTAAAGTGGTGGTGGCAATCCTGATGGCTGTATTTTTTATCTACATAAATTGCGTGATGATTATTGCTATGAGTAGCAGAACAACTTTTATGGAAACTCCCCGCTACATCCTCTTCGCACATATGCTCTTCAATGACTCCATGCAGTTGCTGGTCAGCTGCCTTCTGTATGCGTTTGCCTTGGCTTATCTACGATTGGTAAAGGTTGTCTGTGGACTGTTTGTCATGTTTGGCAGTGGCATGTCCCGTGTTGCCCCACTTAACCTGGCGTTGATGTCTCTAGAACGCTATGCAGCCATCTGCCACCCTCTCCGTCATAGTGACATAGCCACAACAAAAAGAACCGGCATTGCCATTGCAGTCGTCTGGTTTGTCATATTCATAAATCTTATAATTGATATGCTTTATTCTACAGCAAAGGATCCCGGCTTTTTTATTACCCCGATATTTTGCACACGGCAGAATTTATTCATTGCGTTGTGGCAGATGCAAGTGTTTCAGGGGTTCAATACTTTTTGCTTTGTAGCTGTGTCTCTCATCATCATTTACACATACATTGCCATAATTGTCACAGCCAGGTCTGCCTCTTCTGACAAAACTAAAGCCAGTAAGGCCCACAAGACTGTGCTGCTGCACCTGGTTCAGCTGGGCCCGTCTCTCTCCTCTTTTCTGTATGCACCCATTGAAAGTGCACTGGCCAGTGTAGGCAGTACTACCATCTTTATTGACCTGCGATACATTAACTTCCTCTTCCTCATCATCCTGCCAAGATGTTTGAGCCCACTCATCTACGGGCTGAGGGATGACGCCATACGACCCCTGTTCCTACACTACTTCACTTGCAGAACTAGAAAGGTCAAGGCTGCTGTGATGGTACAATAGAAGAAAACATGGCACTATTTTTCTTCATGTTCATTCGAGGCAGATAACCTGCCCGGTCAGTTAAGAAAACGGGGAGTCCATCATCTGTCTTGTACACATGCAGAATAGTCCCTAAGGGGTGTCTCTGTGTTTACCATGGAAGTAAACAGTGCATTTACCAGACATGCAACAGAACAGAAATGAAAACATCTGGAGAGATTTTCCTTATGCATTTTTAATCATAATTCTTAAAATCCAAGGATGTTAAACACAGAGCACGACATGATGGAGTTACCCAAAATTGAACAAGAAACAGGCAAGCCATCACAGGAAATGAAAATAAAAAAGGTTGAGTGGGATGGGTGAAACCAAATCCCTGCATTCTTAAAAAAAAAAAGGCAAAGCCATAAGTGGCAAAAGATCTACATGTACATTTCTCAAAGTAATAATTAATTACAAAAGCTAATTTAAATTTAAGAACCAAAGTGCTGAGAATTTTGCAGTTGTATAGTGCTCATGTTTATTTAATTTATACTGATCTATTTTCTCCCAGTTGGGAGTAATTGGCAGAAGATGGTGTCCACGAGGCTCCAGGCAACTCCTCCATGAGTGCTGTTTGGGTCCAGGGCAAAACTGGGACTTTTCTATGCAGTTTACTATTTATTTGGATCCCATTCTTATTAGCTGTTACGATTTGACAACAAAAAAACAAAAACATGAAAGCATAAACACATGCTTTTTGGTTTTCCTGTACCAGTTAGCATCCCATTTGACATCAAAAATAATTACTTGTGTCAAAACAGACCTTATACAGTAACTACCAACATGGTGTCAGCAATCGTTACAAAACCTTATATTGTATGACGTCCATAATTTCCTTAAAAAAAAATATATATATATATATATATTTTTTTTTTGGGAGGGAGGGTTTTGTATTTTATTGGACCGAGGAGAGACAGAGGGAAGATAGACAGAGTGAGTCACAAAGGCAGTGGGATGGATTTGAACCCCCGCCGACCCTGGAAAGCATGTGTGCTGTAGCCAGCGGTCCTAACTGCTAGACCACCCAGGCCACAAATCATGTGGTTTTAACAGTGCAGATAAGCGATACATGCTTATGCAGGTCTTAACAATGCGATTGTACAATGATTATTGGACAAGCAGACTTAAAAGTAATAAACAATGTTGTAAACAAATGTGTGATATGTTTCTATTCGAGTTAAATGAGTCTTACCACAGGAAACCCTCCTTGAATTCAGTGAACTTGTGACGGACCATGAACGAGGCCAGAGCGTCTGCTACCTGGGGAAACAAGAGCAATGTGGGTTTGTTCCCAGACTTCACTTCCCAGACATTGAGAATTGTATTTTGTGTGCAATATTACATGCATACTGGCCTGAACCTCTACTATCGCAAACAAAATGGGAAACAAAAACACATGCCAACTTGATCTCATCGTTTCACTTCGGGATTTTATATAATTGGATGAACGTAAATGTTTTACCCATTAATTCTGTGTGGTTACAGGGTTCATTCCGCATGGTTACAGGGTTAAAACAGAAACAACTCAAAGGGTTAAGTTTAGGTATTAATTCCGAGTGGTTAAGGTTAGGGCTATGGTTTTTGGAAAGCATAAAACAATATTTTTTTAATGAGCTGTTTCATTTAGTATCACTAAGTACTCTCCCTGCTTGCAAGACAATTGTGAACTTCCGGCAGCAGTGGTCTAAGCAGCACGCTCTGGATCTGAGTGTTGTGTGTTCGAGCCCAGAGCTGTGCCATAGTTTTTTTTATTTTTTTTGATGAGCGCCGATGACAGCATATATCGACATTCTCTTTTCAAACATCCAAAATCTACGTATTTTTTCTAGTGACCTGCCTGCACATGCACCAAGCAGTTGTTCAGAATCATACCCAGAAGGTTAAAACCCACTCACTTTTTCAGGGGCGTCCTCATGGACAGCATGGCCACACTGAGGGAGCACCTGCATCTGGAACTTCCCTGAACACAAACAGAACACCAATCTTTATGTGCAACAGGGAATGGGTGGGGGAAGATCTACAGTGGGTTCACGGTCACCATCGGAGCCAAAATTGTAAACAACAACCAACCTAACACACATTAATCTATAAGGCCGTCCTCACCTTGCATCTGTCCAATTGTGAGATCTTTATCAAGCCTGTCCACACCTGTAAATAGGGAAATGTTATACCCAACAATGTGTGCTCTAATCCAATGTCAAAGACAAAAATGTAATTGTATTATATTGAAAACATAATTTAAAGTAATGTGGATTAAAACGGACTAAACCGAGGGACTCACCAGCGAGTAGGAGCAGTTTTGGCACAGGGCAGGACAGGAAGAGGGCAGACAGTCCACTGAACCAGCCCTCCCAGTACTTCTCTGTCTTTGACAGATCAATCTGCCAGGTATAGAGGCTCTCCTTCTTCACCTGAAGAAGACCAAGAGACAGTTTACTCTTCATGTACACACTACAACAGACTGTGTAAAGGTGGGAAATTAAATACACACTCCCCCAAGATGACATATGCACCCAGATGTATACACCAACTGGGTTGTTCCAAGATTTTTTTGTTGCCTTTTAAGATATTTTATGTAGAAATTGTGCACCAATATATAATTTTAAAAGCCTGATACATTAAATGAAGTGCCCTTTAATATAGACCACATGGAGAATTCAATACATCAGATTTTTAATATATACTGAACAAAAATGTAAACGCAAAATGCAACAATTACAATGATTTTACTGAGTTACAGTTCATATAAGGAAATAAGCATAGGCCCTCCCACTTGGGAGCCAAGCCCACCCACTGGGGAGCCAGGCCCATCGAATCAGAATGTGTTTTTCCCCACAAAAGGGCTTTTTTACAGACAGAAATACTCCTCAGTTTCATCAGCTGTCCGGGTGGCTGGTCTAAAACAATCCCGCAGGTGAAGAAGCCAGATGTGGAGGTCCTGGGCTGGCGTGGTTACACGTGGTCTGCGGTTGTGAGGCCGGTTGGACGCACTGCCAAATTCTCTAAAATGACGTTGGAGGCAGCTTATGGTAGAGAAATGAACATTCAAATCTCTGGCAACAGCTCTGGTGGACATTTATGCAGACAGCATGCCAATTGCACGCACCCTCAACTTGAGACATCTGTGGCATTGTGTTGTGACAAAACTGCACATTTCAGAGTGGCTTTTTATTGTCTCCAGCACAAGGTGCATCTGTGTAATGACCATGCCGTTTAAAATCAGCTTCTTGATATGCCACACCTGTCAGGTGGATGGATTATCTTGGCAAAGGAGAAATGCTCACTAACAGGGATGTAAACCAAATATGAGCAAATAACCTTTTTGTGCGTATGGAAATGTTCTGGGACCTTTTATTTCAACTCATGAAACATGGGACCAACACTTTACATGTTGCGTTAAAATGTTTGTTCAGTATAAATAAAGGCTTGCTAAGGTGCCAAAATTCAGCATTTTCACGTCTCTCCATCAACCCTGTATCACTTCTAGGAAGATTTTAACCATAATTGAAAAGCCCTTGTTATTTTGTGCTTTGAAGTCATTTCTGAAGAGTATTATTTATTTCATGTGATTAGTTATTAATTTACGGCTGTCCCTCATTTTAAGGTCAACCCTGTTACATGAACTGAACTCTCGTTTTAATAAGGCCATTTTCTGGTGTTTTGTGGTGGGAAACTGAGCGGATCGAGCATAACACGTCAACCCTGTTACCCATAGATAGACAGGCTAGAAATGTTTGAACAATATAATTTTCTTGTGAAGCTAGCATTGAATTGCCACTCCCTGTTGAGCTTTCATTCCCCCTGTCACAAGGAGATTCATGTCTGATTTAAGAAAAAATCATCAACCCTGTTACTTTATTTGGCACTTACTATATTTTTTTAATTCAACCTCTGGAGATGGGGAAAACATTTGTTTTATGAAGTTGAACATGTGCTTGTTATGACAATGTAAAAATGTGGTGAAATTCAAAGTATTTTTGACCAAGTTACACTTCTCAATCAGGCACCGAATTTGTGGAACGACCCAATCACTAATGCCTAAGAAGACTCATGCATACAAACACACCTGAATACATACAGTGCATTAGGAAAGTATTCAGACCCCTTTCCCTTTTTCCACATTTTGTTGCGTTACAGCCTTATTCTAAAATGATTATTTTCCCCCTCAATCTACACACAATAACCCATAATGACTACACTTCTTTGATTGTGTCGAGGCACAGATCTGGGGAGGAGTACCAAAAAAATGTCTGCAGCAAGAACACAAGTGGCTTCCATCATTCTTAAATGGAAGAAGTTTGGAACCACCAAGACTCTTCCTAGAGCTGGCCGCCCGGCCAAACTGAGCAACCAGGGGAGAAGGGCCTTGGTCAGGGAGGTGACCAAGAACCCGATGGTCACTCTGACAGAGCTCCAGAGTTCCTCTGTGGAGATGGGAGAACCTTCCAGAAGGACAACCATCTCTGCAGCACTCCACCAATCAGGCCTTTATGGTAGAGTGGCCAGACAGAAGCCACTCCTCAGTAAAAGGCACATGACAGCCCGCTTGGAGTTTGCCAAAAGGCACCTAAAGAATCTCAGACCATGAGAAACAAGATTCTCTGGTCTGTTGAAACCAAGATTGAACTCTTTGGCCTGAATGCCAAAAGTCACGTCTGGAGGAAACCAGGCACCATCCCTACGGTTAAGCATGGTGGTGGCAGCATCATGCTGTGGGGATGTTTTTCAGCAGCAGGGACTGGGAGACTAGTCAGGATCGAGGGAAAGATGAACGGAGCAAAGTACAGAGATCCTTGATGAAAACCTGCTCCAGAGCGCTCAGGACCTCAGACTAGGGGGAAGGTTCACCTTCAACAGGACAGTGACCCTAAGCACACAGCCAATACAATGCAGGAGTGGCTTCAGAACAAGTCTCTGAATGTCCTTGAGTGGCCCAGCCAGAGCCCGGACTTGAACCTGATCTAACATCTCTGGAGAGACCTGAAAGTAGCTGTGCTGCGACGCTCCCCTTCCAACCTGACAGAGCTTGAGAGGATCTGCAAATAGGAATGGGAGAAACTCCCCAATACAAGTGTGCCAAGCTTGTAGCGTCATTCCCAAGAAGACTCTAGGCTGTAATAGCTGCCAATGGTGCTTACACAAGGTACTGAGTAAAGGGTCTGAATACTTATGTACATTTAATATTTCCAGTTTTTATCTTTAATACACGTGCAGAAAATTCTAAAAACCTGTTTTTGCTTTGTCATTATGGGGTATTGTGTGTAGATTGATGAGGGGAAAAAAAACATTTAAATCCATTTCAGAATCAGGCTGCAACGTAACAAAATGTGGAAAAAGTAAAGGGGTCTGAATACACTGTAGGTATAAAACATATCTTTTTTTAAATCAACAACATTTCCCCCTAATCAGCCCAGCCCTGACCTCTTGGTCGTCCTCCTTCTTCCTTTTGTGGTTGGATTCTCCTTCCTCTTCTTCCTCCTCCTCTTCAATGATGACTTCGCCGATGCTCTTGGAGACAACTGGACTGTTGAGGGGTTCCTCACATCTATGGAGGAGGTAAAGACTTGTGTTTAGTTACAGGTCCTGAACAGTCACGTCTTAAAGTTGATTCATTTAAGTCCAGACTTACTTTTTCACCTGGCCTCCCATGGACACCCGGGCTGACTCAACGTTTCGAATCTGTCCACTCTTCACACTGATGGGGGACGGACAAGAACAAAGAACACATGACTTGGATTTTGCTCTATTAGTAAAGTATTTGATTAGTATTTGTACACTTTTGCGTGTATGGACAGCATCTCACCTCCACTCAATGGCATTCTCCACAGACTTAAAGGTCTTTGGTCGACTCCTGAGGAAATTCTGCATACTGTTCAAGGCATCCATTGCTGTGCCTGAATAAACACAATAACAGAAAAATGATGAACTAATCACTCAATCAAAAAATTGATGAATACACCTACAGTGGGGAGAACAAGTATTTGATACATTGCCGATTTTGCAGGTTTTCCTACTTACAAAGCATGTAGAGGTCTGTAATTTTTATCATAGGTACACTTCAACTGTGAAGTTGTATGATTTTTAAGTAATTAATTAGCATTTTATTGCATGACATAAGTATTTGATCACATACCAACCAGTAAGAATTCAGGCTCTCACAGACCTGTTAGTTTTTCTTTAAGAAGCCTTCCTGTTCTCCACTCATTACCTGTATTAACTGCACCTGTTTGAACTCGTTACCTGTATAAAAGACACCTGTCCACACACTCAATCAAACAGACTCCAACCTCTCCACAATGGCCTTGACCAGAGAGCTGTGTAAGGACATCAGGGATAAAATTGTAGACCTGCACAAGGCTGGGATGGGCTACAGGACAATAGGCAAGCAGCTTGAGAAGGCAACAACTGTTGGCGCAATTATTAGAAAATGGAAGAAATTCAAGATGACGGTCAATCACCCTCGGTCTGGGGCTCCATGCAAGATCTCACCTCGTGGGGCATCAATGATCATGAGGAAGGTGAGGGATCAGCTCAGAACTACACGGCAGGACCTGGTCAATGACCTGAAGGGAGCTGGGACCACAGTCTCAAAGAAAACCATTAGTAACACACTACGCCGTCATGGATTAAAATCCTGCAGCGCACGCAAGGTCCCCCTGCTCAAGCCAGCGCATGTCCAGGCCCGTCTGAAGTTTCCCAATGACCATCTGGATGATCCAGAGGAGGAATGGGAGAAGGTCATGTGGTCTGATGAGACAAAAATATAGCTTTTTGGTCTAAACTCCACTCGCCGTGTTTGGAGGAAGAAGAAGGATGAGTACAACCCCAAGAACACCATCCCAACCGTGAAGCATGGAGGTGGAAACATCATTCTTTGGGGATGCTTTTCTGCAAAGGGGACAGGACGACTGCACCGTATTGAGGGGAGGATGGATGGGGCCATGTATCGCGAGATCTTGGCCAACAACCTCTTTCCCTCAGTAAGAGCATTGAAGATGGGTCGTGGCTGGGTCTTCCAGCATGACAACGACCCAAAACACACAGCCAGGGCAACTAAGGAGTGGCTCCGTAAGAAGCATCTCAAGGTCCTGGAGTGGCCTAGCCAGTCTCCAGACCTGAACCCAATAGAAAATCTTTGGAGGGAGCTGAAAGTCTGTATTGCCCAGCGACAGCCCCGAAACCTGAAGGATCTAGAGAAGGTCTGTATGGAGGAGTGGGTCAAAATCCCTGCTGCAGTGTGTGCAAACCTGGTCAAGACCTACAGGAAACGTATGATCTCTGAAATTGCAAACAAAGGTTTCTGTACCATATATTAAGTTCTGCTTTTCTGATGTATCAAATACTTATGTCATTCAATAAAATGCAAATTAATTACTTAAAAATCATACAATGTGATTTTCTGCTTTTTTTTTAAGTAGGAAAACCTGCAAAATCGGCAGTGTATCAAATACTTGTTCTCCCCACTGTAGCTGTGTCATATCATAGTGTCACACTCTGGCTCCGGGACTTGTATTTGAGCCAGGGTGTATTCGTTTTGTGGGGGTTTGTTTTGGTTAGGTTGGGAATAGGGTGTGTTCATTTGGGTGTGTGTGGTTTTGGTAGTTCTGGTGTAGTCATGTGACTCCCAATCGGATGGTAACGAGTGTCAGCTGTCGGCTCGTTATCTTGATTGGGAGCCATATTTATCTGTATGTTTTCCTTTGGGTGTTGTGGGTTTTTGTTCCGTTTCGGTCGGTGTACCGTGGACTTCATGAGTCGTCTTTTGTTTGTAGTTCGAAACTTTAATTAATAAGTCATGTTTCTTGCACACGCTGCGCCTTGGTCTCCTTCGCTCTTAGACGACCGTGACAGAAAAACCCACCAATCTAGGACCAAGCGGCGTGTCAAGCGGCAAAGGATCCACCTACACAGGATTCATGGACATGGGAGGAGATACTGGATGGAAGGGGTCCTTGGGCACAACCGGGAGAATATCGCCGCCCTCGTGAAGAGCTGGAGGCAGCTAAAGCCGAGAGGAGGCAATATGAGGAGGCAGCACAGAGGCAAGGCTGGAAGCCCGTGAGCACTAGCCAAAAATTTATTGGGGGGGGCCTTAAAGGGAGTGTGGCGAAGTCAGGTAGGAGACCTGCGCCTACTCCCTGTACTTACCGTGGAGAGCGAGAGTACGGGCAGACACCGTGTTACGCAGTAGAGCGCATGGTGTCTCCTGTACGCGTGCATAGCCCGGTTCGGTACATTCCAGCTCCACGTATCGGCCGGGCTAGATTGAGCGTTGAGCCGGATGTCATGAAGCCGGCCCAACGCATCAGGCCACCAGTGCGTCTCCTCGGGCCGGCTTACATGGCACCAGCCTTACGCATGGTGTCCCCGGTTCGCCTACATAGCCCGGTGCGGGTTATTCCTCCTTCCCGTACTGGTCGGGCGACGGGGAGCATACAACCAGGTAAGGTTGGGCAGGCTCAGTGCTCAAGGGAGCCAGTAAGCCTGCACGGTCCGGTATTTCCGGCGCCACCTCCCCGCTCCAGCCCAGTACCACCAGTGCCTACACCACGCACCAAGCCTCCTGTGTGTCCCCAGAGTCCTGTGCGTCCTGTTGCTGCTCCCCGCACTAGCCCTGAGATGCGTGTCCTCAGCCCGGGACCACCAGTTCCGGCACCACGCACCAGGCCTATAGTGCGTCTCGGCCGGCCAGAGTCTGCCGTCTGCCCAACGGCGCCTGAACTGCCCGTCTGCCCAACGGCGCCTGAACTGCCCGTCTGCCCAACGGCGCTTGAACTGCCCGTCTGCCCAACGGCGCCTGAACTGCCTGTCTGCCCAACGCCGTCTGGACTGTCCGTCTGCCAAGCGCTGCATGAACTGCCCGTCTGTACTGAGCCTGCAAAGCCGCCCGTCTGCCATGAGCCTTCAGAGCCGTCCGCCAGACCGGAGCCGCTAAAGCCTTCCGCCAGACAGGAGCCGCTAGAGCCTTCAGCCAGACAGGATCAGCCAGAGCCTTCCGCCAGACAGGATCAGCCAGAGCCTTCCGCCAGACAGGATCAGCCAGAGCCTTCCGCCAGACAGGAGCCGCTAGAGCCTTCCGCCAGACAGGATCAGCCAGAGCCTTCCGCCAGACAGGATCAGCCAGAGCCTTCCGCCAGACAGGATCAGCCAGAGCCTTCCGCCAGACAGGATCAGCCAGAGCCTTTCGCCAGACAGGATCAGCCAGAGCCTTCCGCCAGACAGGATCAGCCAGAGCCTTCCGCCAGACAGGATCAGCCAGAGCCTTCCGCCAGACAGGATCAGCCAGAGCCTTCCGCCAGCCATGAGCAGCCAGATCCGTCAGCCTGCCATGAGCAGCCAGATTCGTCAGCCAGCCATGAGCAGCCAGATCCGTCAGCTTGCCATGAGCAGCCAGATCCGTCAGCCAGCCATGAGCAGCCAGATCCGTCAGCCAGCCATGAGCAGCCAGATCCGTCAGCCAGCCATGAGCAGCCAGATCCGTCAGCCAGCCATGAGCCGTCCAGCCAGGATCCGGCAGAGCCGTCCAGCCGGGGTCCGCCAGCCAGCCAGGATCCGCCAGAGCCAGCCAGCCAGGATCCGCCATTCAGTCCGGTGCTGCCCCTTAGTCCGGTGCTGCCCCTTAGTCCGGTGCTGCCCCTTATCCGGGTGCTGCCCCTTAGTCCGGTGCTGCCCCTTAGTCCGGTGCTGCCTCTTAGTCCGGTGCTGCCCCTTAATCCGGTGGGGTTAAGTTGGAGGGTGGTCAGTTGGAGGAGGCTACGGAAGCGGGTAGTGACTATGGTGGGGTGGGGACCACGACCAGAGCCAGAACCACCGCCGAAGAGGTATGCCCACCCAGCCCTCCCTTGGTTAGCCCTAGTTGAGGCGCGGTCGCAGTCCGCGCCTTTAGGGGGGGGGGTACTGTCACACTCTGGCTCCGGGACTTGTATTTGAGCCAGGTGTGTATTCGTTTTGTGGGGTTGTTTTGGTTAGGTTGGGAATAGGGTGTGTTCATTTGGGTGTGTGTGGTTTTGGTTAGTTCTTGTGTAGTCATGTGACTCCCAATCGGAGGTAACGAGGGTCAGCTGTCGGCTGTTTCTCTGATTGGGAGCCATATTTATCTGTATGTTTTCCTTTGGGGTTGTGGGTTTTGTTCCGTTCGGTCGGTTGTACCGTGGACTTCATGAGTCGTCTTTTGTTTGTAGTTCGAAACTTTAATTAATAAAGTCATGTTTCTTGCACACGCTGCGCCTTGGTCTCCTTCGCTCTTAGACGACCGTGACACATAGTTTACTAGAAGCATATAAAACAATGAATTAATCATTTTCTCTTTTGTCAGCTCCCCAACTGCTGCTTGTTTGATCATCAAATGACAAGTCTCGATCATGGGACAAAAAAACACAAGTACTATAATCACCTTCCACGACATCAATGACACAAAGGCCAAGTAACGATGGCACGTGGTTGGCTGCAGCGGTATGAACTGCTATAGCTCCACCCATGCTGTGTCCAATCATCATGATCGGAGGCGGGTTTTCTCCATAGAGTGCTTCAACCACTTTGCCAATGTCCCTGGTGGAGAGAGGAGACAAAACCAGCATCAATCAACTGCTGGAACAATCTCACTCATACAAACCAGCCTTATACAGCTCCTCAAACAATCTCAGCCAACAGAATATGGACAATATAGGAATCTCTGTCACTTAGTTTCCAGAGCAGAGATAGAAAGCACTTTGTTGATATAAACAACACTATTTTGGGGGATGCAGCAAGCCTGTTTCCTCCTTGCATCAAACAGCAGATCAGTGTCTCAGTGGGAGGCAGCAGCAGCAAATGGCTCATCTGACTCAGTCCTCCTCTCTCTCCAGCAGGTTCTCTTCACCTACAGTACACCTATACCACTGCCTCCTGTCCTGTCCTTTTCCCTCCCATACCATCTCAACACAATACATCCCCCATCACTCTCCCTGCATAACACTCATCTCTGAATGATGACAGAGCATGAGGGTAAATGTATCTGTAAATGTTTGTAGCCCAAAAATGCATGACCTAACAACTTACTTGGCCATTGTTTCCGCTGAGAGATCGTCAGAATTCTTTACTTTGGTGTCACCTGTGTGGGACAGAAAATAGTAAAAAAAGTAATACTATTGATACTATGAATATGAGGTAACCAGATGAAATGTGTTTTATCATGAGGAAGAGTTAGCCACTCACCATGGGCCCTGAGGTCCATAGCCACCACCCTGCAGTTAATTCTGCTATATATCACCTCCTGCAAACACAAACCCACTTTGTTTAAACTGTTAACTCTGGCCTGAATGTCAATCTGTGTTATAAGGCAGGCTCACAAACATACTGCTCCACCTTCAACAGTCACTTAACACAACCTTAAATGCAAGACATGTTGTGATGGTATTGTGTGTACCAGTGGAGTCTCCTCAGAGGAGGAAAGGGAAGACCATCCTCCTCAGTGAATTTCATAAAAATTAAAACGGTAAAACATGAAAGAAAGTTATCCTTTTTAGATAAAACTATAGTAAATATAATTAATAAATCACGTCATCAAATAACTAATTAAAACACACCATTTTGCAAAGGTCTACAGTAGCCTCAACAGCACTCTGTAGGGTAGCACCATGATGTAGCCGGAGGACAGCTGGCTTCCGTCCTCCTCTGGGTACATTGACTTCAATACAAAACCTAGGAGGCTCACGTCCACCCAATCAAAGGATCAGAGAATGAATCTAGTACTGAAAGCATAAGCTACAGCTAGCTAGAACTGCAGTGTATAAAATGTGGTGAGTAGTTGACTCAAAGAGAGAGAAAGACAATAGTTGAACAGTTTTTAACAAATTAATTTCTTCCAAAATTAAGGAGAAGCAAGAGAGAAATAGACAGAGAGATTGTCATTATTTTTCAGTTTCACTTACTTACCATCAAATGCAGCTAGCTAGTTTAGCCTATTCAAACTCCTGGCTCAAACAGAGGGATGCTATGTTAGCTAGCTGGCTATGACTTTCCAACACAACACTGGAACCTCTTCCAAGTCAAGGTAAGCTTTTGGTATTACTAATTTATTGCCACCGGGCCCACCGGTGTAACTGCTTACTGACTGTACACTAACGTTAGTTGTCTCCTGAGTGGCGCAGTGGTCTAAGGCACTGCATCGCAGTGCTAACTGTGCCACTAGATCCTGGTTCGAATCCAGGCTCTGTCGCAGCCGGCCGTGACCGGGAGACTCATGGGCGGCGCACAATTGGCCCAGCGTCGTCCAGGGTAGGGGAGGGAATGGCCGGCAGGGATGTAGCTCAGTTGAAAGAGCATGGCGTTTGCAACGCCAGGGTTGTGGGTTCGATTCCCACGGGGGGCCAGTATAAAAAAAATATGTATTCAGTAACTGTAAGTCGCTCTGGATAAGAGCGTCTGCTAAATGACATAAATGTAAAAATGTAAATGTAAATGTTACTGCATGATTGTAGCGGGTTTACTAATGCATTAGTTCTATTAGCTATGCTGACTATGACCTTTCTTTAGCTTATATTGTGACAACGATGTAGGCTGTTTGTAGAGGTTTGGCGTGGAAAGGTTTTTTTGCCTGGTCACATACAGCTGATTTGTTGTGCATTGAAGTCCACAAGCGAAGGGAAGAGAAGGACTACAACGTGGCTGTTATGAGAGTGAACTCTGTTTACGTATGATCAGGGGTGTATTCATCACGCTGATGGGTATAGGGAAAATGTGTGTATCATGTAGTAGCCTAAACCTATCGCTGTTACATTGAACTGGGTGAATGGAATATGAATGAGTGTCATCCAATATGGTGTAATAGAAATAAGACCATGCTCATCAAAAACAAATTGTCCTCCCTCATCTTAAAACGGCACTGACTGCCACTGGTGTGTACCTAAAACAGGATGGGTGCTCTTTCTGGTATTTGATAGTATTACTCACAGTGAACACAGCCCAGGAGAGAGCAGAGTGGCCTCCTCCATGAAGCAGGAGCAGCACAGGACCATGCTGGCCGCTGCTATAGATTCTGAACGTGTGCAGAGCAGTCAAGGAATATAGACTACAGACACAGTTTCTGTTAGCTGGCAATTGCTGGCTGTTGGCCGATAAAAGAATGAAGAGACAATAAATAAAACTGTTGCCAGGAGAGAGAAAAAATCCCATTGCAAAATAATGCTTTATATTCATTGATGGAAATACCAGTTGATGTAAATACAGTTGACCCTCATGCTTATCGGTCTATAGGATAATTTGCATAATTTAGTGGAATTAAAATTGGCCTGTGTATTTTCGTTAGTCATCATGTATCTTATTTATCCAACAACTATCAAAACTATGTCCACAACATACAGAACCTATTTTGAGGGGGATTTCTTCTGCTGCTCCTCAGCCCATTCATTGCATAACAATTCTAAATGCAATTGCCTGTTAAGAACAGTTTTGGTGCATGATTAAAAATAGCTACCATTTTTATTTCTGGTAATTGAAGCGCGCCTCCCATTCACCATTCAACTGCAGGAAACAGTCTATCAGCGCGTCACCCACCACTTTACAATGTGAGCTGGAGACAGTATGCATTTTGAAAACAAAACATATTTAATTGTTTGAAACCTGAATGTTTTATTTCATATTATGAGGAATGTCTTAGCTTGCTTCAAAGTAGCCTATAGGCAAAATCCAACCATGGAAACATGGAGGCAAGTATTTTATAAAGACTTCATAGGCGGCGCGTGAGTTTCAAGTTTGGGGAAGCTTACAATTTAGCCTACCATTTGTACCATTCTGCGTGGCAATTATGATTTTCATTAGCGCATTTTCTTTCTCAAAATCATTGTCACGTGGTTAATCATAAAAATCTGAATTAAAATTATACAAATCTAAAAGTTAAGTCAACTAATGCGAGATCACCAGCCTCTGCCATATGGACACATTGATACACCGTGATCCATTCTGCAGCTAAAGAAATGAGCGCATGGAACTCATAGCATATAGGCCAATGCAGCAGTTGGCCTATAACTTACATTGCTATTTCACACTGAGGATTGGTGATTAGAGGGGGAGATTGTTGGAAAGATTTTTAAAATAGCTTACTGTGAGGAACTATAGTTTTAATATATTACCATTAGCAGTGGATGTAAAAAAAATAAAAAAAATCACTTTCCTACATTTCCCACATCTATGCGTGCTCAGGCGCGCCAGCTCCCTCAACATTATCAGGACAGAGAAATCAGACACATGCTCATATGGAGCACTCCAAAGAAAAGACAATGAAATATTGACAAATCTTGTAAATTATGGTTATGAAATAAACCAAAACTTGTTTCTCACAAGTGTAGAGGGTTGTGAACTTTGCAAAAGTTTCCACTCTACGAAAATGAAAACGCTATATTTAAAAAAAAATTACATTTACATTTTAGTAATTTAGCAGAAGATCTTATCCAGAGCGACTTACAGGAGCAATTAGGGTTAAGTGCCTTGCTCAAGGGCACATCAACAGATTTTTCACCTAGTCGGCTCTGGGATTAGAACCAGCGACCTTTCGCTTACTGGCACAACGCTCTTAACCACTAAGCTACCTGCCGCCCACACTGTAATTAATACATCAACATAAATTAATGTAACCAAATGATAGGGATTAATGGTACATTTACTACTGGTGACATATGTAATGGGGAATTAATCAAAAAGGCATACAATTCACAAAATAAATGCGCAAGAATTAGCAGGAGACAGCTGAGCTATTCTAGAGAATTACTCGCCTATATCTTCGCCACACCCCTCCCCTTCTTGTCTCAACATTTAAAATTATACTCAAGTCCAATAGCAACACGTCATTCAGGCCAGGTGGGGCAGAGCCCCGCCTGTTTCGAGCCCCACCCCACTGCAAAATCTACAGGGAGAGCTAGAAAGTTCAAGCCCCCTTGGGTGCTGCCATAGATTTACAGATACAATTATGTCAAATCACGTTATAAAGTGCATTCAGAAAGTATTCAGACCTTCACTATTTCCACATTTTGTTACATTACAGCCTTATTATAAAATTGCTTAAATAATTTTTTCTCATCAATCTACACACACTACCCCATAACGGCAAAGCGAAAAACAGATTGAAAAATGTTTGCTAATTTAAAAAAAATAATGAGACTCGAAATTGAGCTCAGGTGCATCTTGTTTCCATTGATCATCCTTGAGATGTTTCTACAACTTCATTGGAGTCCACCTGTGGTCAATTCAATTGATTGGACATTATTTGGAAAGGCACACACACACCTGTCTATATAAAAGGTCCCACAGTTGACAGTGCATGTCAGAGCAAAAACCAAGCCATGAGGTCGAAGGAATTGTCTGTAGAGTTCCAAGCCAGGATTGTGTCGAGGCACAGATCTGGGGAAGGGAACCAAAAAAATTCTGCAGCATTGAAGGTCCCCAAGAACACAGTGGCCTCAATCGTTCTTGGCCACCAAGACTCTTCCTGAGCAATCGGGGGAGAAGGGCCTTGGTCAGGTAGGTGACCAAGAACCTGATTGTCACTCTGACAGAGCTCCAGAGTTCCTCTGTGGAGATGGGAGAACCTTCCAGAAGGACAACCATCTCTGCAGCACTCCACCAATCAGGCCTTTATGGTAGAGTGGCCAGACGGAAGCCACTACTCAGTAAAAGGCACATGACAGTCCGCTTGGAGTTTGCCAAAATGCACCTAAAGAATCTCAGACCATGAGAAACAAGATTCTCTGGTCTGATGAAACCAAGATTGAACTCTTTGGCCTGAATGCCAAGCGTCACGTCTGGAGGAAACCAGGCACCATCCCTACGGTGAAGCATGGTGGTGGCAGCATCATGCTGTTGGGATGTTTTTCAGCGGCAGGGACTGGGAGACTAGTCAGGATCGAGGGAAAGATTAACGGAGTAAAGTACAGAGAGATCCTTGATGAAAACCTGCTCCAGAATGCTCAGGACCTCAAACTGGGACGAAGGTTCACCTTCCAACAGGACAATGACCCTAAGCACACAGCCAAGACAACGCAGGAGTGGCTTCGGGATACGTCTCTGAATGTCCTTGAGTGGCCCAGCCAGAGCCCGGACTTGAACCCGATCGAACACCTCTGGAGAGACCTTAAAATAGCTGTCCTGCAACGCTCCCAATCCAACCTGACAGAGCTTGAGAGGATCTGCAGTATTTTTTATGGAGAAACTCCCTAAATACAGGTGTGCCAAGCTTGTAGCGTCATACCCAAGAAGACTTGAGGCTGTAATCGCTGCAAAAGGTGCTTCTACAAAGAACTGAGTAAAAGGTCTGAATACTTATGTAAATTTGATCAATTTTTTATTTTAAATAAATGTGCAAAAAAAAAATCCTAAAATAGTTTTTGCTTTGTCATTTTGGGGTATTGTGTGTAGATTGATGAGGGGAAAAAAACGATTTAATCAATTTCAGAATAAGGCTAACGTAACAAATGTGGAAAAAGGTGAAGGTGTCTGAATAATTTCTGAATGCACTGCATCTACCATAGCTTTGATTGGACTGATCATGTCAACATCATACTTTCAAAATCTTAGCTAGCAAGCCGTCATCATCATGAATCACGTCGACAATCTACTGGCAAATCCTTTTCAATCCTTGTCATATGAAGAGAAATTATAGATAAAACGTATCGGTGCTCATCGGCCATTGGACATAAACATTAAACAACAAGTCGGAAATCGCAAATTCAACAATGAGTGGTTTGGAAGGAATCAGTGGCTAACTGCAAGCGTTGCAAAGCAATCACTATTTTGCTTCCCCTGCCTGCTATTCGGTGGAGAGGATGTGTGGTCCAAGTCTGGGTTTAAGGGTGTCTTTTCCAAGCCTAAAAGGATAAAGATTCACACGCAACACCATGGGCCAGAAAATATTGAATACATTGGCCATGCTGTCAATCCAGCATGACTTCTGCCGCGTTCAAAACAACTGGAAACTCGGAACTGGGAAATCTCAGACTTCAGTGAGTTCAAGACAACTGGGAACTCGTAAAAAAACGAGCTCTGACTGGGAAAATACATTTTGAACAGTCATCAAACTTGGAATTCCAAGTCGGGAACTCTGGCCTCTTTCTAAAGCTCCGACCCGAAGATCACTGACATGATTTGACCTTGTTTTTCTCAGAGTTCCCAGTTGTCTTGAGCACCATAAATCCAGAGAATGCAAGACTTTGATGACAAAGTTTCATGACAAAATTTGCCCACCAGATGGACAACCGCGCCACCTTCCTGTTCAAGTGAGCACAGCACAACGGTGAGTCGAGAAATGTCTTGTATGCTGCCGCATAAATGATGTAATATGCCAGGGAGATACGTATACTGTAGCTAAGAAAGTAATACTAAGTGTATGTTGTGTAGTAAGCTGTTAGTAGCCCATGTGCCTCACCATAATAATTTGGTCCCTTTCACCCTCAGAACGTAGCCTACTATTCTGACTTGGTGGTGCACATGTAGCCTATAGCCTATTTTAGAGAAATGTCATCATCGAATATTGTAAGAGCATTCATTATCTGCTTATATGCCCCCGTTATTTATCCCACGGTTCTGACTTGGTGTACAGGGAGAAAACTGAAAGAACGGCCCAGGTTCTGAAGTCTGTCGTAATAACAAATAGTTATATTGACTACATCCGTCTTACTCACTCATTAATGTCCTAATAGAAATTACGGATTGTCTCTTATCCGCTCATCATTCCCTTAAGCCATAGTTTGTAGATCTCAATTGTCAGTAGTAACCACATTTGTTTAAGCAAGTCAGCCATATCAGCTATGGTTTTTAAAAAGGCAGTAAATGAGGCTAAATTAACGGTTTCGCTTCCAGACAAGGCTCTGCTGATAGCCAGGTCTAGCGTTGGTAAGGATTCACTCCATGGTGCTGAAAAGAAAGCTCTGCTGTTGGGACAGCTTTATGTAGGCCCTAACAGTTTGTGGGCACCGTTTGTCAACGTTATAGTGCAATTCATGTATTGTTTGGTGTTGTGTTGTGGCTTTGCTTGCATGCATAAAAAAGAATAAAAAAGATGAGTTTGCCCCACCAAGATTTTCATGCCAAAATCGCCACTGCTCAAGGCACATTATCTTCACACATTTTTAAGATGCTATTCACTGTCAGCCGCAACTCAATAATCAGCTAGGCCTATTGCCACCGGCGCTGCCCAAATTGCGGCCATCCCTAAATAGGCACAGGTCTACGAGCTTGTGATTTAAAACAATCCACAGCTATTTATTTTTTAAAATAAGTTAATGATCCTCGATTTCGCTGTGGCCAAGTCATATATCCATTTACTTCCCTATTGGATCCACCGCTATGCCATTTCTCTCCTGTTCTATTGGTTTTCATCTCAACTTCTATTGTTGTCCAGGAGCCAACGGCACCACCCTAGTCATATTAGCAACCCATCCTAGTTGTTGCATCTTTAGATGAACCCTCTTTCTAAGTTTCTAACATATGGAACAGCTATCAGGTGCGCTGTTTAGAATGGTGTTTTCCTGCTAATTGCATTTTGGCAATTGTTTGAAAATGACGTTTTATTGGCTGCTTCATCACAGGAGTTGCATGTTCTGTTAAAATGAATTACCATAATCCAAATGTGATTTGTCATTCTGAGCACCGTGGGTGGACGCCCTAATGGGTTCTTAAAGGCACTGCATGGTCAATCCGCCGTCTGCATTGGCCGTGCAGCATTTACGGCGATACGGCCTCTGCAGAAGGCAGGGCATTCATACTTCTTGCTCTTCGCGGAGAAGTGCTGAGCTGTAGTCAAGGAAGTGAGTTTGTGTTTATACAGGACCTCCTGCCCCCACCTACTGTCAACCAATCATGTCAATGCAGAGCTATATGGACATGGAGCCCACCGCATTGCATGGTGATGCAGTACATAGTTCAATTTGGCCTCTGCATGACTTCTGAGGCTCCGCAACTGCGACACACCCTCCATACGGACTCCGACCACATTTTCAGATCAAGCATAAATTGTCTCTTACACACCCAACATTTTCCTAACGGAAACCCTGAGACACATTCACAATGAAGATATATGCTTATGATGCACTGGATCAGGATTTACACACTGTATGAAAGGCCTTCTCTTCAGTGTTTCAAAAATAAGATACATCATTCATGGTTATATTCAATGTGTAGAAGTACAGTAGCAAGTTTATGGGCTTCGCAGTAAAGGATATATCTTTGCCATTATCGTTTTCCACTTCTACATCTTCCATCGTTTCAAAGTATTGACTCCAGGACAAAGGGGTGAAGTCTCTCTTCCGTCCAGGTCTGTGTCAGGTGGAGTATAAGAAACAGAAATATCATTTTAAACAAACAGTGTAGTCAGTCCTACATTATCCCCTAGCTCAAGCCCAGTATACACTCAAATAACAATATTTAAGTATATGGAGGCAGCATAACCCATAAAAGAGTCGTAGCTAGCACATTTAGCAACTGCTTTCATAACGGTCACTTGACTGGGACTCAAGTTACTGATGATGATAGCCTTCTGACCTGTCACTACCAGCTGGCTGTCGCACTTGAATGGAACAACACGAGAATAAGAGCATTGTTCACGACAAGATAATATAATTGAAACGCCTCACTAGTTTCAGTAACCAATGTCAATTGTCAGATATATTGAACTGTTACTTTAGCTAGCTTGCTAACGTTACCCATTTAGCTTGCTAGCAATGTTGTGAACTTAGCTAGCTAACGTTAGCTCTACCACAGTTAAACATAGAAAGAGACTGTTGTTGCCTCATGTTAGTTAGCTACGCATTCTCCAGTTGCAGTGCTTAGCTACTAGAGCCAGACAACTATCAGAGATAACCTCGCCAACCACCTCAACTAACGTTACTGACTATGAACTCACCCCATTCTCATTTTAGACCCTGACTGCAAACCTCCTGGCACTGGAGGTCTGGAGGCTAACAAATTCAAATGCAGCTGTTTCTCCATTCAGTCGAACGCGGAGCCAAGGCCGTTCAGTCAACTACCAAATATTGCCCCTCCTTCGAACCAACTATACGCTACGATTTTCTTCCAATACCGGGTAGCTTTTTCGCAGCAACAAATTGAAAATAAATCTGCAAATTTAGCAAAGACTGTTCTCCTCTCACGACACAACCAATTCCCTCCCACAACCCGTTTGCCACATTGCACTCTGGGATATGTCTGCACACTGTACACCATTCTCAACTAAACCATCGAGATACAGACATACAAAAACTACATTTCCCAGAAAACATAGCTTGCCATATGTAAAGCGCAGAACCTAGATAAAAGATTACGTAATCATTTTACCGAAATTATAATCATTGTCATAATACCAACGGTAATAATCATAACAGTCATAACAACTGGACACCTAATCATCATCATCATCATCATCCCTGCGGTGCAAGTTAATATAATATATATATATATATATATATATATATATATATATATATATATATATATATATATATATATATATATATATATATATGGGTGAAAGGCATCAGTTCCCTGCAAAGAGGTATGTACACATGTGTGTGCAAGTGTGCATCAATAAAAGGAGGGGAAGTATATTACTGAGGGGCACTACCATACAGTAACCAGTAGAACGCAGTGTGACGCAGGGCAGAGATGAGCAGTGTCCTCCTTTTTATACACACCTTCTGACTCCGCAGTCAAATCAATTAAGAAATAGCCTCAGTACTGACATGTGCAATGATGTGTGTATGTTCTTGTGTGTCTGTGGCAGCAGAGGTTGTTACACCATGCCATCATCATAATTGCTTCAATCTCCCCCATCATTCCCTTCCCCCCTGACCAGGATGGAGGTTGATATTGCTGAGCTCCCCTTTGAGGAGTTGAATGCCATGAGGTAACAGCACACATATTATGTAATCATGAAGAACACAGGCAACAACCCTGGTTACTGCTATGTCCTTTAGTTAACCTTTTATACTCAAACAGATATCTTCCTCTATCCTGAAAGTATGTAAACTGTCATTAATGCAAATAGAGTAATACTAATAATAATAATAAGCCATTTAGCAGACGCTTTTATCCAAAGCGACTTACAGTCATGCGTGCATACATTTTTCTTTATTTTTTGTGTATGGGTGCGTCCCGGGGATCGAACCCACTCCTTGGCGTTACAAGGCGCCAGTGGTTCTACCCGCTGAAGCTACAGAGGACCACAGGTGTCACAGAGTCATCCCCTATGTATATGGTCATGTCATCTGTTTTTTAGTTCTCATTTACAACTGCGACCTGGCCAAGATAAAAACAAAGCAGTGTGATAAAAACAACAACAACACAGAGTTACACATGGGGATAAACAAAACATACAGTCAATAACACAATAGAAAATCTATATACAGTGTGTGCAAATGTAGGAAGTTATGGAGGTAAGGCAATAAATAGGCCATAGTGCAAAATAATTACAATTTAGTATTAACACTGGAGTGATAGATGTGCAGAAGATGATGTGCAATTAGAGATACTGGGGTGCAAATGAGCAAAATAAATAACAATATGGGGATGAGGTAGTTGGGTGGGCTAATTACAGATGGGCTGTGTACAGGTGCAGTGATCGGTAAGCTGCTCTGACAACTGATGCTTAAAGTTAGTGAGGGAGATAAGTCTCCAGCTTCAGAGATTTTTGCAGTTCGTTCCAGTCATTAGCAGCAGAGAACTGGAAGGAGTGGCGGCCAAAGGAGGTGTTGGCTTTGGGGATGACCAGTGAGATATACCTGCTGGAGCGCATACTATAGGTGGGTGTTGCTATGGTGACCAATGAGCTAAGATAAGGCGGGGATTTGCCTAGCAGTGATTTATAGATGACCTGGAGCCAGTGGATTTGGCGACGAATATGTAGTGAGGGCCAGCCAACGAGAGCCTACAGGTCACAATGGTGGGTAGGATATGGGGCTTTGGTGACCAAACGGATGGGACTGTGATAGACTACATCCAATTTGCTGAGTAGAGTGTTGGAGGCTATTTTGTAAATGACATCGCCGAAGTCAAGGATCGGTAGGATAGTCAGTTTTACGAGGGCATGTTTGGCAGCATGAGTGAAGGAGGCTTTGTTGCGAAATAGGAAGCCGATTCTACATTTAACTTTGGATTGGAGATGCTTAATGTGAGTCTGGAAGGAGAGTTTACGGTCTAACCAGACACCTAGGTATTTGTAGTTGTCCACAAATTCTAAGTCAGACCCGCGGAGAGTAGTGATTCTAGTCGGGCGGACGGGTGCAAGCAGCGTTCGATTAAAGAGCATGCATTTAGTTTTACTAGTGTTTAAGAGCAGTTGGAGGCTACGGAAGGAGTGTTGTATGGCATTGAAGCTCGTTTGGAGGTTTGTTAACACAGTGTCCAATGAAGGGCCAGATGTATACAAAATGGTGTCGTCTGCGTAGAGGTGGATCTGTTACATGACCTAAATACATTTGACATTTTAGCAGACGCTCTTATCCAGAGCGACTTACAGTTAGTGAGTGCATACATTTTTCATACTGGCCCCCTGTGGGAATCAAACCCACAACCCTGGCGTTGCAAGCGCCATGCTCTACCAACTGAGCTACAGGAGGCCTAAGTGACTCCTACTACTAGAGAATATCCCTCACTGCAACAAAGCACTACAGAAGATAATATCAGAGCTCAACATAACCCTGTAGAGCTCTCTCAGGAACAAACTGTCCTTGGCTGCAGAGAGTGACAACAAATGAGTGTTTACAATTCCCCTCTACACTGCACATACAGTAGAACACCCTCTGTTTCCGTATTATAACTCAGCAGACATTTTTACATTTTAGTCATTTAGCAGACGCTCTTATCCAGAGCGACTTACAGTTAGTGAGTGCATATATTTTTTATTTTTTATTTCATACTGGCCCCCTGTGGGAATCGAACCCACAACCCTGGCGTTGCAAGCGCCAAGCTCTACCAACTGAGCTACACGGGGCCCATACATGTGTTGGTGAAGTTGTGGCTTATTGACGTGACAGAGAATACAAAGCTGTGGTTTGGAAACTTCCTGGTACTGTTTACTTGAAAGAGGTGGTGAGAGAGTATCGTTGAGCACAGACATAAACACATGCACGCTCTCTTGCTCGCATCAAGCACGAACACACACTCAAGAAGTCGTTCATCTGTCAGGTGTGACGATCTCCATTGTTTAAAGGGCCTCTCATACTAGTAGTACTAGTGACACAGAAGGAAATGAACTGTCAGGCTTATAGAATCAGAGTTTTACATGGAACAAACAAATCCCCAATGTTCCTCAGAGGAACCTATTTCACTGTATCACAGCATTCACTTTCTGCACATGCAGCATGTGCTCAATGTACCACATGTATACTCTATGTACTTTTACCCATTACTGAATCAGCATACAAGGCCTTGTAGACATTTTGATTCCAAGTTTATCTCAAACAAGATGTTTTATACAGTATCAGTGAAACCCAGTGCTGGCAGGCAGACTCTGGCTGCTATTGCCATGGTTTTCATGTAGAGATATAGTAGGATAAGAAAAAAAGTGTTTATTGTACAATACCAATCAGCAGGCCGTAGGTGCTGCCCTAAATGCTTACAGGATGCATGCAGAGCATCCATTTCCTAATATAGTGAGTCAAGAAACGCCCTTCTCCTTTGTTTACTCAGTTTGCCATGTAGAGGAGCAGTGCTGTACTGAAGTGACTATTGCTACGAGGGGACAGGATTTGATTTTAACAGACAGTACTAGTATCTGCCACCCCAGACTATTATTTATCTACACTCATAGTGTTGCTGTATGTTGTGTACATCACATCACTGCGCATTTATGTGAGTTTGTTTTGTCTCACCTTTTATTTATGCAAGAAGAAAATATAATCTTTGGATGAAATTGGTCTTTGCTTGACTCAATCTAAGTCTGATGATTGATGTTTGTTCCAGTTTGTAAAGACCAAAACAGTGTTCCTCCTATTCTATTATCTTGAAGGGCTCCAATTGGGTAATACACATTCCACTCTTTCTCTTGCCTTTCCTATGCATCAAGGGGAGGAATGAACAGATGTTGCTCTAAACCAATGGAATCGATTTCATGGGAGATGAATAACACTCGATCTGCTGAGTCATTGCCGAGAATGATGGGAAAAGCACTGGACCTGAGGATTTATGGTGGGTATGGACCGTATGGTTCAGTTTACTCTCATCTGTAACAGGTGATGAATCCTTTAGAAGGGAGGGTGGACCGTCTGGGGCATACGCTATATGTTCCTCTCCCTCACATGACCTCGTAAGATGTACATCATCTCTCAATCTATCCCACACATACCTACCACTCCCCCAACAACAACCACAGAGGAGCAACTGACATCTCTCCATTTCGCCTCCTTCTCTCCTCCGGTCGCCCCAGTATGATTACTCCCTCTAGCTACACTATACAAAAGTATGTGGACACCCCTTCAAATTAGCAGATTCAGCTATTTCAGCCACACCGTTTGCTGACAGGTGTATAAAATGTAGCACACAGCCATGCAATCTCCATAGACAAACATTGGCAGTAGAATGGCCTTACTGAATAGCTCAGTGACTTTCAACGTGGCACCATCATAGGATTCAGTTCGTCAAATTTCTGCCCTGCTAGAGCTGCCGCGGTTAACTGTAAGTGCTGTTATTGTGAAGTGGAAACGTCTAGGAGCAACAACGGATCAGCCGCGAAGTGGTAGGCCACACAAGCGCACAGAACGGGACCACCGAGTGCTGAAGCGCGTAGCGTGTAAAAATTGTCTGTCCGCGGTTGCAACACTCACTGCCGAGTTCGAAACTGCCTCTGGAAGCAACATCAGCACAAGAACTGTTCGATGGGAGCGTCATGAAATGGGTTTCCATGGCCGAGCAGCCGCATACAGGCCTAAGATCACCATGCGCAATGCCAAGGGTCGGCTGGAGGGGTGTAAAGTTGGCCGACATTGGACTCTGGAGCAGTGGAAATGCGTTCTATGGAGTGTTGAATCACGCTTCACCATCTGGCAGTCCGAAAGACGAATCTGGGTTTGGCGGATGCCAGGAGAACACTACCTTCCCCAATGCATAGTGCCAACTGTAAAGTTTGGTGGAGGAGGAATAATGGTCTGGGCTGTTTTTCATGGTTCGGGCTAGGCCCTTTAGTTCCAGTTA